TTGAGAATCAGTAACTATATTAAGAGGTTCTGTAAAATCCATAAGTACCATGAGAATGGCATATAATTCTGCCTTCTGTACAGATGTATATGGACTTTGAACTACTTTACTTACCTCACCTGCTTTATAACCAGCATTACCTGATTTGTTGGCATCAGTGTAGAAGGTCAGAACCCCAGAAATGGAAGTTTGTCTTACAATACGTGGAAGAATCCAGACTTTCTTTTTTATGAATTTAATTCTGTCAGTTTTGGGATAATTGTTGCTAATCATTCCCAAAAAGTCAGTAAAAGCCATTTGCCAATATTCATTATCCTTCCATAAGGAGGAAATTTCCTCATTAGTTAAAGGTACTATAATTTCTGCTGGATCTTTTCCAGTCACTTAAAAAAGTCTTCATTTCCCCTTTAAAATCAAATCAGAAATCTTTCTATATACATCTTTAACTTTTTATTCTGTTTATGTGACAGAAATATACACTCTAATATGGTGTCTTCCCTCTGCATCAGAATGCCAGAAGGGTATTCTCTGGATGGTAAGATAACCAGAATACAGTCTAAATCAAGGTTTTCCGATCTACATGTGCATCAAATAATCTGTTTTCTACCCATTGTAATTCTTTTGTAACTCTTTTTCTGCCTCAGCAGATAATATTCTCAGACTGATTAGGTCCTTATCCCCTTTAAGGGCCATTTTGAAATGCTTTAAGTCATGTCCTTTTACCCCAATAATCGTCTGTAGTTGAAAAATTTCCCCTAATAATTTCTGAAGAGAATTAAGAGTTTGATAACGATCCCTTCTAATTTTTTCCTTTTGAGGTCTGATTCTTTGTAAGGCTATCTTGTAACCTAAATAGTTAATAGAATCTCCTCTTTGTATCTTTTCTGGGGCAATCTGTAACCCCCAACTAGGCAGAACTTCCTTCACCATGTCAAATATACTTTCCAAAGTTTCCTTATTAGAGTCTAATAAAAGAATGTCATCCGTGTAATGATAAACAAGAGATTGGGAAAATTTCTCACCAATTATTTCCAAAGGTTGCTGTACAAAGTGTTGACACAAAGTAGGGCTATTTAGCATTTCTTGTGGCAAAATCCTCCACTGATATCTCCTAACTGGCTGGGAATTAAAGAGTTAGTACAGTAAATGCAAATTTTCTCTATCATTTTCCTGTAACGGTATTGTGAAAAAACAGTCTTTTAGATCAATGACTATGATAGGCCATCCTTTGGGTATCAAGGAAGGCAATGGCATTCCAGGTTGCAGAGAGCCCATTGGTTGAATTACCTTATTTATGGCTCTCAGGTGTGTCAGCATTCTCCACTTTCCTGACTTCTTTTTGATAACGAATACAGGAGAATTCCAAGGACTGGTAGATTCCTCTATGAGTCCAGCCTCTAGCTGTTGCTGTACTAACTTTTCTAAAGCCTTTAGCTTCTCAGAGGATCATCTTACAAGTTCATCTGTAAGCCACTTCAGTGGCAGGGCCTTTGGCTCCTTTGAAGGTCCATCATTTGTACCTAGTTTTTGTACAGCCTGGGTGGTTGGCAACTGTTTTCCATAGCGTCTTACCAGATCTTTTCTATTATCTAAATACTGTACATAATTTGTATCCAACATTGGAGGAATATTAATCTGAGTATTCCATTGCTGTAAAAGATCATGACCCCAGAGATTTATAGCTATATTTGCCACGTATGGTTTCAGTCTCCCTTTCTGTCCTTCCATTCCAGTGTAGACCACTGAGTTAACACTCTATTGAACTCTAGATAGAATTCCAATTCCTAAAAATTGCCTCTCTAAGAGGCAATTTCTGAGGCCAAAACTTTTGGATAATAATAGTCACAGTGTCTACTAAGCCAGTAAAAGCTTTATTATTAATTTTCACTTTCAACTGAGGTCTTTTATCATTAATAGAAGTTTGCCAAAATATAATTCACATTTAATTCCTCATCACTATTCAAACTACCATCTACAGCAGTATCATTTTTCACAATAGGCAAAGAATTATCTATTTGTCCTGTGAGAGACTGTCTTCCACTACTCCTGGGAATGACCGGACATTTCTCCATGTGGCAGCCTTCTTGAGGTCCCCCTCGGGGTTTCCTGGCCTTAACAGGTTTCCTTGCATGTCCCTGGTCGATCTACATTCATTGGTTTAGTGCCTGCCCTTACCATATCTTCTACACAATCCAGAAGGCAGTGGCCTTCCGTATGAGGCATTGCTAGAATTTGTTTGTCTACAATTTCTCTTGATATGTCCTATTCTACCACAGCTGAAATATCTAGGTTCCTGGAGTCTTTGTGATCTCCTGGCAAGGGGAAGCCACAGGCCCTGATGAAAGCAGAGGCCTAATCCGTTAAGGGCAGGAGGCCTCCAGGTGTGGGTAGGCTGCAGTCCTAGCTGGTCCCGTGCATGCAGCTAGAAATTGTGACAGTAACCATGGGGAGGTCTGTGGAATTCTCCCAGCTGGGCGGACGGTTCTGAGCAGCTCAGCAGCAGCAGGGACGCACTTGTGGTGCAGCAGGTCAGCTGTGAGCCGGAAGCAGTTGTGGAGAGAGGGTACTTTCCGGCCTAGGCCGCCGTCCTGGTGAGAACCGCACACGCTCCCAAAAGGGGCCTAGATTTACAATATCCTGCTTCTGACAATCAGATAATATGGGAAATTACCAATATGGAGCCAGGTAAAAATACAAGGGAATTTAATAGGGAAAAGCCTTACTTACAGAGCGACATAGCCAGCTGGTGGGCAGCAGTCTGAACAGCAAGCCAAAGATGAAACAAAAGCAGAGCCGCCTCACTCTTAAACTTTCACTACATTACCCTGACCACACCTTCGCAAGCGTGGTCCAGCACACCTGTAGCCAGCCCCTAAGCAGGCGTGGCTACAACATCCCTTACAATTGTTCACAAGAAGATGATATAGGCCACCATCCCTGCTTGGAGCCTGAGATATTTCACACTGCCCATCAAAAGGATTACTTCATCCTGGACTTGTGGAAAATGCAGGGGACTTAAACAGGAGGATTTTGAAATTCAGGCTAACATGGGCTGTATCTCAAGACCCTGTCTGGAAAACAGGTCAGGGAGGTAGAAAATTGTTCCTTGTGATGATGAAGATAAGAAGATAAACTTGACAAAATGTAGTACCTTAATGTTTTTATTCCTCAGTGATCATTTTATCTTTATAAACAAAAGCTATTAGCTAAACAATAATTAATTTTGTGGGCCAAAAATTTCCCTGTTGTCCTACAGTGCTATGTGCACTCTTATTACCAGCCCCAGGGAATAATGGGCTTTGCGGTGAATGTTCTCCCTCAACTGACATGAACACTGAGAGTTTTATCTCTGTTGTTTCTATTTCTGTGATCTATCCAGGATACAATAAGTGTTTAACTGGATTACCTATGGAATAACTTTTCTCTCTTCCTTCTTCAATTTGTTTTTTCTTAGGATCAACATGAACGTAATCGCATTTCAGGGTATTGGAAGCAAGTTGGACCAATTGCTGTTGGCTCTTTCTGCCTCTTCATATTTGACATGTGTGAAAGGTAAGCAGGTATTGGAGTCACTCCAAGATGAAATGTGCCATTCTATGTCCACTTCCATCTTTCTAGGAGGAGTTTTTAAATAGAGAATGGTGGTTGAGGGTCCATGGGATGAAATATTGGAGAAGTCATATTCTCAGCTGAAGTTTGTGATTAAATCAAAGACTTGACCCTTTATACATGCAAAGCCCTTGGGCTCATCATATTCTAAAGCTCTACATCCTCTTATACTCTCTGAAGTTTGTTTTCTAAATATAGTATACCAACAACCCTACCACAGTCCCCATGCCTCCCTCCACTGCTGCAATATTAAGGGAAATCTCTGGTCTGCCTTTGTATTTTCCATCTTGTTTGCTTTGTTTTTACAGAGGAGTGCAACTCACAAATCCTTTCTACAGTATTTGGACTACAGATGTTGGAACAGAACTGGCTGTATCCTTCCATGATAGATTTTAGGTTTCATTCTTCTCCCCCTATCTGCCTGGCTTTCATGATCATTTTCTGTGGCTCATCCAATACTCTCTGTATGAGCTCAGTCAGGGCAATGGTCCTCACACAAATAGCAGCAATTAGAGATAAATAGTGAGAAGAATTACTATGTGCTTTCAGGCTGTGAAAACAGCCAAAGTGGGGAACTTGCAAGCTATCACCAAAATTTATGTTCTGAAGTACATCATAAGTCATCTATTCTCTAAGGTGTATCAGCTTCTTCTTGAGCCATGGAAGCACCTTCTGGCTCCTAGAACAGAGGTCACCTGTATGGGAGGGAATCTTCTGCTGTAGAAAGCTTAGGACCAAAGTCACCATTATGTAAGCCTTCTGTGGGAAATCTGGAGTCTGGGGTCACTTGTATGCAGGGCTGCCATGGGAAAGCCAGGCCTTTGTGTGAAGCTCTGATAATAGTTTCAATGGATAACCACCTTTAATTCATGAGGCTCAATGGGAATGACACTAAGGTAGTTAGTTCTTGAGCAATGCTGAGGTTTATGGTTGGTCCACATAATCGTCATCTGCATCACTTCAGTGAAGAAAAATAAGTCTTAACACATACCTTTAAGGATGTTGGTTTTAAAATATAATATTCTAAACACCATGTTTAATATTCTAAGAGAAAAGGCCTCTTCTGTAGGGAGAGGGCAGCCTGGCATTGTGCTCTTCCTTGACAGCTAATGCCTTGACATGTACCCTGAATATACCATGTCTAATGTTGATGTTTATGTCAGTTTCTTAATGTCACAGAATGTTGTGAGCAAACAAAATACATGGTATCAGTACCTTTAAGATAAAGAGTTGAGCTTTTTCCATTCCCCACCCCCACAATGGTAACTGTACAACAAGAGGAACAATTGCATTGTCTACTTCAACCCTTTTGATTTACACATAGGATGAAGAACAAGGGAAGCAAATAAAATTTCAAGTCCTGCAGCAATTAACCGTCTTCTCTTTATTCTAGGGAACTGTCGGTCTTAGGAAAGAAGGAAGAATTGCATTAAATATACTACCTAATGAAAGGTGGATGTAGAGTTCATACCTGTCAAAGTATTGGAAAGATATAGGTAATTTTGGATCCAGTTGTTGCAAGAGAAAGGAGTTGCAGTCTGTTGTCTGCTATTCCTAACAATTCACACTGCCCTAGATCTTGCTGGTTCTCACAGTCTGGCTCTAGTGGTAGGTCTCAGAATTTCCCTGATGGGTGTCCTATCTGGATCCACAGTCCCTTCCTTTGCTCTATGTCTTTCAGGCCCTTGCCAAACCCCCTTTCATTTTCTACTGAACTTGCTCCATTTATACCTTCCCCAGGGTGTCTTAGGCTTGTTCTTAGAAAAACCCAAGCACAGCACAGTAGTTTCCAAATGTGTTTACATTGTTTTCCAGTTTTTGCAAGTCTGATTAGGTACTTGTAAGATGGGACTCAGGCATCTGAGTCTTTAGACTCTTTCAGTGATTTTAAAACATCTTCCCATTTAGTAACCAGTATCCACTATACTAGTGTGTTTCAACCCATGACACATTTGAATCTCCTCAAAACATGCTTGAAAGGCAGATTCTGATTCACTAGCTCTAAGAGGGACCTAACTCTATTTCATAAAAATAGAATACAGTTTTTCTATATAGTGGCAAATTACCAATACGGAGCCTAGTGGAAATATAAGGGTAATTAATAGGGAAAAGCCTTACTTACAGAGCGACCCAGCCAGCCAGCGTGGCAGCAGTCTGTCCAGCAAGTACCAAAGTGAAACCGAAAGAGAAAACGCAGTCGTTCTACGTCACCTTGACCACGCCCTCAAAAGCGTGGTGAGACACACCTGTAGCCAGCCCCTGAATAGGCATGGCTACAGCTTCCCCTAGAATTTTTCTTTTAGTCTAAAAGAGGATTAAAATTTAGCAGTGTAAAGTATCCAAAATTAACAATCATAAAGGTAAAATATAAGAAGATACAGCAATCTGCTTATGTCACATTCTAAACCCTAAAGTCATCTGAGAGAGGTATCCAAGCCTGAACACCTCCTTCCAATCCCAGCCATAAACAATAGGAAGCTGTCCCTAACTAGTTATATACAGTATCCTAAGTGACAACAATGGGGGAAGGGGGCGTAGCATCCTCCAAGTTACTACCTGCTGAAATGGGACGACAACAGCCTTGTGGGATCCTGTAGGAAGAAAATGTTAGTATAATGAAAGTCTTGAATGGATTGTATCCAGTCCATGCTAGATGGGATTCGCTTGATTGAAGATATCGCTTGAAATCCTCAACTTGATTGAAGTATTGCTATTGTATATATAATTGATTGTCTTATTTCTGGATCTGTTACCTGTAATTCTACTGCCCTAGTTAACCTTTGTAAGAAGTCCTGGAACTGTTCTGTAGGTCCCTGTTCTATTCCGGTATAAGCTTCTAGGTGTTCTCCTGGCTCACAAAACTTATCCCAGGCATTTAATGTTGCTTTCCTGCATAGAGACAGCATATCCTCATCATATTCAACCTGAACCTGTGGGTCAGCATAAATACCCTGACCAAGAAGCTTATCTAAAGGGGCTTCAAAACCTTCCTTTATGCTCTGACGCTCAAGCAGCTTAGCCTCTTCCCTTACTAATGCCTTCCACAGGATTTGGCATGAATTCTCAAGTACAGCTGCTACCAATCGTTCCCAATTTGTGGGTGTCACCCTGTTAAAGGTTGCCCATGAATGTAATAGCTGTTTTACATATGGGCTATGGAGACCATATGAAATAACTGATTCTTTAATATTCTTACGATCCTTCAGCTGTATAGGTTGCTAGTCAAAAGCCATCTGTCCATGAGGGTGTTTCTTAGAAGCTGGCTTTTCTACCATGGTAGCTGGGTACACTAATGGTGTACGAGTAATAACCTTAGAAGAATAGTCATGGTACCAGGGTGGAGTAGGTGCCTTGTATTGGAGTGATTCTGCCTCTGAGGCATCCCAATGATCTTTAAGCCTAGCAATGATATCCTTTTGAAAAGTTTCAAGCTCCTTAATCATAAAAGATTCCAAGCACGTTAGTGAATCTGTAAATTGCTCTAACT